AACAGCGGTCAACATTCTAGCAGGCAGCACCAAGAGGACTCAGCAGGTCATTAAAAAGGTCATGAAGCAGAGAAGGGAGACACGCTGGGGGATTTGGGGTAGTTGGGTATGGATAGGCTCATTATACATTGTATGCATGTATGAACTTGTCAATGAATAAAAGTAAATATATCTTATATATACATGTAAAATTATATACATATTTTTTCATAAAATTATGTTATATAAAATATACAATTTATATGTTATATGAATTCACTTGTTATATAGAACATATATATAACATAATATATAAATTTATACATTATATAAAAATATATAATTATTTTTTAAAACAGGTCTGATGGAGAGCTGAGACAGAATGAGTGTAAGTTCAAGACCAGCCTGGGCAACCTAGTGAGACACTGTCTCGAAATAAAAAATAGAAACTAAGAAGTCACTGTGTGCATTTTGCTCAGAATGTTTGAGGCCCTGAGTACAGTCCCTAGAGCTGAAGAACAAAAGGCTGTCATTGAATGCTGTGCCTACCCCTCTCATTCAACAGTCGGCAGTTCCTGAAGGAGAACCCTGGGCCCACTGAAAGCCTTTGGGGCAGGAAGCTGCAGAGGACTAGCTGAGGTCAAGGGCAATGTGAAGATGTTCCCTCCAGAGATAGACAGCCATATTTCCTGGGTATTCTGTGGTGAGCAGGGGACAGCTGGCAGGCTGGGGCAGGGCACCCGGAATAACAGATCTGGTGCCAGGAGACTCATTTAATGAGAATCATCTGTAGAGGCTGCTAACCTCTCAATGACCTCCTGAGACAGGACTGAGCATGCCTCCAAGAACCCACACACATCCCACACCCAAAAACAGCACCTTACCTAACCCACAAAACCACAGAATGTGAGCTCCAGTGTGTGTGGTGTGTGTGTGGTGTGGTGTGTGTGTGTGTGTGTGTGTGTGTGTGTGTGTGTGTGTGTGTGTGTTCAGAGGACTGAGGGAAGAGTGGCTAGCATGAGAGAGGTAGCAGAGCTGTATGCATCCACAACTAGGATCACAGAATTTGAACAGCTCCCCCAACCTCGTACCTAGGGAATTCTGACAGGAGACCCATGGGCCCAAAGGATGCGGGGAAAGAGCTAGGGATGTAGCTCAATGGTAGTGTGCATGGGGCGCTGGGTTTCATGCCCAGCGCTGAAACCAAACAGGAGAGATAGACATAATGCCATGAGTAAAGGAAAGCTGTCTTTACGCCGTTGATGAACATCAGCAAAGGTGATGACAAGCACAGCTGCTGCACCTGGTTGTCCAGGCTGGGCACTGCACGAGGGCATCATGGTTAAAGGGGACAACACTCACACTTGCAGACACTACAGTTATCCAGATACTGTGACCATTTGACGCTGAGTAGAGGCATCTTTCCCTGACTCACAGAGGACTTGCACAGGTGAGCTGTGACGCTAATTACAACAGGGCCCCTCATTGCTGCTTACATTTACAAAATTCCAAATCTGTTGGACGGGGGCAGTGGGAGATGAATCCAAACACGTACAAGGCACCGAACACAGCTGCCTGTGCCCGCTGCACCTGCTACGAAGGTTTGAGCTGGGGAGAGGGGTGGAGTGAGCCATCCCCTTCCCTTGTCTGTCTAGACCAATCCAGCTGCTCTGTCGAAGTCTGCCGGGTGCAACCTTAAACAACAGAGTTTTCACCCGGTTTCCAGCTGAAAGAGCCGAGGTCAAGGTGCTAGAGGACTCACGGCCTGCTGAGGACTTGCTGAGCCGCAGAAGGCTCTTAGTGTGTTCCCACATAACAGAGAAAGAAGAAGCCCTCTGCTCCCTTCTTATGGGACACTTACTTACCATCTTACGGGGAGTCAACTATCATGATCTTCTTTGAACTTAATCCCCCCCCACGAAGGCCCTCCTCTAGCACTAAATTATGGGGAGGGAGTGTCAGAGATGTACAGTGAACTCCAGAGGGGACACAGTATCCATCCATCAACACAAACACAAGGCTATTGGGAGACAATGCCTATCCTGGCCACACACCTCTCCAGACACCAGCTGGCAAAGCCTCAGTGAAGAGGGGGGAATCTTCCTTCTTCAGCTCCCATCAAGGCCTCTCCCTCTCCAGTGGTTACTAGGGCACACCTTCTGCATGGTTTGGTTGTCCAAATACTCTGCCCATCTCTGGGGCTCAAATTATCCAGCTGTGATTCATGAGCATTGGGCCGGTTCCCAGAGGCTCAGGAAGAGGATGAAAAGAGATGAAACATCTGTCCAAGCAAAGTCAGAGCAACTTGCTTCCACTAATCCATTTGAATGACTGCCTGTCACATTCCAGGACTCTCCTCAGGGCTCCTGACAAAGGTCCACCAAGACCCTCAGGGAACTTCCGGCTACAGCCCTGTCTGTTTCCCAAAGGCCCACCATAAGAAAGTCAACTGTTGAGCCAAGGTCGGCTCAGAGGCGGCTCAGAGGCAGCTCAGAGGTGGCTCAGAAGGCAGGAGTTCTTGCATCTCAAGCCTGAGTTCAAGCCTCAGAATCTACACCGGGAGGAGAAGATCTGATTCTTGCAAGTTGTCCTCTGACCTCTGTGCGTGTGCTTTTCGGCACTCACCTACAGATGCCATATACATATCCTCACAATGACAGTCACATCTGACGTCTTTAAAGGAGAACGTTGGCTGTCCTAGCTGGTACCCAAGTGCCACAGGCTGCTATTGACCGGGACATTGAGAACGCTTTCATGGAATGCCATTGTTTTCTAATCTTGGATTGAAGGCGAGAGGGCCCAAGAACCAAAGGGTTTGAACTAGGCCAACTGGCAACCACAGCTTCCAGACAGATGCCCTGGAGCCCAGACCTGCATCTCAAAGACCAACAGGAGAGAAGCAACAACACTGGCCAGAGACTGGCCCTCCAGGAATGGGAGAGCAGGAGGAAGCAGCAGCCCACAGCCTGCACACAGAGTAGGCTAAGAAAGCTGACAGCGGAGGGAAGCAGGACCTACAGGCAAAAGGAAACGGGGAAGAAGAGATCCTAGGGCGGTGCCCGTTCACTGGTATATGCTTCGGCCACTGCTCTACAAAGATTGGCACACATTAAGGTGAGAAGCGATACCAGATGCTGGCATGAGTGGAGAGTGATGGGAACCCATCTGGCCACAAGCAAGTTGGCATGGTCCTTCACCTGTACTCTGGCTCGTGTCCTCTAACAGAGCTCAAGAAGCTCCACTCCTGGGAGGGGGGGGTCCACCCACAGACGATCTTGTGCACGTGGTCCAGGGGCGAAGCGTGAGAATGTTCGGAGCAGCCGTGAGGTGGTTAACCATGGAATCTGAAAGCAATCCAAATGCTCACCAGGAAAACGGAAGGATGGACTGTGGTGTGCTTGTCACGTGACACAGCAGTGAAAACAACTGCCATATTTGGTGCCACGGATGACCACAGCAGTGAGTTTAATGGAGGAAGATGGGCCCCCAAAGACGGCTGGCTATGACTCTTTAGAGAGCACTGAAAGGAAGGCAAGAGTGAACTGGGTCTGTGGGAGAGCACACACAGGTGGTAGGGCTTTGCAGTAAAACAAGAAGGAACTAGGGGAGTGATAAGCCCTGGTAGGGAGGTGGCCGTGATACAGACAAGAAAAGGGCCCATGGTTCTGGGATCTGTGATGTCTATCTTGATGTAGGCAAAGGCTCCATCAGCATTCATTGCAGCTTTTCCAGAACCTGTTTGTGGATCATAAACGGCATACCTTCCTGTCTACAGTGATAGCAGCCCTGGGGAATAATGGGACGATATTGCTGCTTTCAGAGACAGGTCTCTTTAGAGCCGTGGTTGACATCCTCCTGTCCCTTATCCTCTGCCACATTTTCCCTGCCTCAACCAGTTGCGGGAACAATGTAGGACCTGCCTAAATCAAGATGTCCTGACTATGGGCCTGTCGCTTCCCCACCTGGGGCCAGGTGCCAGCATGGTCTATGGCTATCTCACTGATGCATAGACAAAAGTCCTGTTTACTCCTCATACTTCTGAGAGGCAGAAGACTCAGCCCTTCTGAGAGTCAGGCACAGTGGCCCACACATCTGATTGCAGCACTCTGGAGGTAGGGACAGGAGGACCAGAAGTTCAAGATCATCCTCAGTTACAAAGCAAGTCTGAGGCAAGCCTAGGCTACATGAGATCCTGCCTCAAAAAAGACAAAAGAAAAATAAACACAATCACCCTTTCAGCTCCCCTACCAATCAATGTGGGCCTCATCCTGGCTGGTGGGCCAGTAGAACCATAGTATTAGGACCAAAATCAGTCAAGCAAGAAACACGCTGATCTCCACTTTCATGATGGCATCAAGAACCAAAGTTCCTTCTGCCCATGAGCTAACCAAGTGTCCCCCTGTCTCCACTCTCAAAATCAGGGTCAGGAGAGGCTTTACAGACAAGGAAACTGAGGCTCAGAAGTGCCCCAGAATTCCAGCACATGATTCTGGTGTTAGAATCCAAACCCAGAGCAGAATCTTTCCAAAACCTTCACTGTAACCTGGTGCTCTGGTCCCCAAGCTCAGTGCTGTCCCCCACCCCTGCTTGGCACCATCATCCTCAGCACCCCCGGGGAATTTAGCCCAGAGGAGAACCAACCACCGCCTAAGGTCACAACCCTGGGGAAGGGGACAGCCCAGAGCAGCCCAGCTTCTCTGAGTCAGACCCGTCAGACAACAGCAAGGCCAGCCTCATTTTGAGAGACCCAGAGAGGGGCAGGGATCTCCTACAAGTCACACAGCTTCCCCTTCCTCTCATTACGCTCTCTCTGCTTGCTCCAGAGTCAGGATCTTGTCCCTCCTTCAATGGATTTCAGAGGCTCGGCCCTCCCATCCAAACAGCTCAGTGAACACCATTATTTCTCACCTCTCCGTCCAGAGGCCAAACCCCTGTCAGTGGAGGAATCCAGGGTCCTTAGTCTCTCTCTGGAGACAATGCTGTCCCTGCATGTAGGGAGGCAAGGTCGGAGCAGCACCCACCTGGCCTGCCTTGGCCCTGGCCCAGCTTAAGAGCCCTAGGCCACGGCCTCCAGTCCAAGCAGGTGCAAGAAAGCCCACAGCCGCTGCTGGCACACTCCTGCTCTCTGCCAGGCTCCTCTTGAATAAACACCGCTGCATGGCAACCGCTCTCTGAAGGAGCCCAAGTCCCTGTGTGGGGGAGAGAGAGAGCTAAGACTTTTCCCCTCGGTCTCATTTCCCCTGTGGCACCGCCAGGTACTGGGCATGCCCCAGCGGCCAACCTATTTTCTAGGGCCATGAGGCATTCAGAGGGTGGGGTGGGAGGCACATAAGCTTGCTAGAGCCAGCCAGGCTTCACTTTATAGTGGCTTCTTTAAGAAATGTAGAGCAGGCTGAGGCAGGTGCCATAGGCAGGCTCCTGAGTCTGTGTGCGTGGCCTCTGGGCCCCATGGGCCTCGGCTCACTAGCTTGCCTTCATAGCCAAAATGCCAAGTGTGGATAGGCAGCAAACAGAGCCAAGTCTGATCCTGATTCTGCTGTTCTTGTCTTGTGCCCTATGACCAGGATTTAAGCTCACTCAGCCTCAGTTTCCCCATCTATAAAATGGTACTTGTAGAGTTGATGTCAGGATTGAATAGCTGCCATGAAGAAGCATAGGGTTTCTCTAGAAGAAATCCCTTTGCTAATCTCTCCAGAAATATCTATGTAGAAGAAAGCCATGGTTTCATCCACCGACACATTACCCTGCCCAACATTTGGGAAATCCGAAGTCCATCATTCTGTGTGTGCCTGCTCACTGAGCCCTGCTCCTGACCCCATCTGCGGTCTACCCTCCAAGGCACACAGGGGAAAATCAGAGGTTTCATTGATTTTATACAGCTTTTCAAAGACTAGGAGGTTTTTAGGTGACCCCTCCAAGTTCTCAGAGAGGAGTCAGCTTGACAGACACAAGAATACAAAGTAGGCTTGCAGGACACCTAGCTGCTCAATAGCTTGCATCCAATGCAACGTTTTCCTCTCTGTGGTCCATAGGCACCGCCTGGAGCCTCTTGAAGGAGCAAGCTCCAAGAGAGGCCAAGAGTGGCCTGCCTGTAAGAATGGAGAGCCAGCCTGGCAGTGGTGGTGCACTCCTTTAATCCCAGCACTCAGGAGGCAGAGGCAGGTGGATCTTTGGGTTTGAGGCCAGCCTGGTCTACATAGCTAGTTCCAGGACAGCCATGGCTACACAAAGAAACCCTAGCTCGAAAAAATAAATAAACAAGCAAACAAACAACAACAAAAACCAACTAGATATACCTGCAAAGAGCGGTGGTCCCACTGGAGGGCACCAATGGGTCCCCTCTAGGGGAGAAGCTGACTGCTGCCCAATTCCTGAGCCTGGCCTTCAGAGACCCGAATGGGTTCTCAGTGGGAAGAAACCAACTGTTACAGATGGGGAAAGTGAAGCCTGTTAAATTATTCAATTTTCTAATGCTCCAGCTGTGAGCATCTGGGAAGAATGGCCACACAACAGGCTGGCCTCTGTGTGCCTTAGGTAGGAAGCCAGATACGCGCCTTCCCAACTCACTATGCAGGCAGAGTGCACCGTCTCCACAGAACCTACCCACATCCCTTCCATAGCGGCTCCATCCTTTTGTTTTGTTTTGTTTTGTTTGTTTTGTTTTTCATGCCAGCCTCACAGTAGCTTCTGTATGAACACTTGAAATGACAGTTCCTCATGCTGCAGTGACCCCCGGCCATAAAAGTATCTCATCGATACTCCATAACTGCAATTTTGCTACCGTTATGAGTTGTAATATAAATATCTGTGTTTTCTAATGGTCTTAGCCAACCCCTATGAAAAAAAAGTCTTTTGAGTCCCCAATAGTGGTCGTGTGCCACAGGTTGGGAACCATTGTTAGGGTCTAATACTTCAACAAACATGTCACCAAGGAGCCTCCTTGCTTTTGCCAGTCTTCGAGGTGGGTAAGGGTCCATGTCTAGCGATGGGAAGATGCAGTTGGCCTGGGCACGTGCCCTTCTGTAGGGCATGTACACCAGCTGGGCATAGTGTAAGATGACATACCCACGCTCAGCCTAGGGCCTCTGCTCTGCCTAGCTGGCTCTGGGTGACAACCGCACAACTTCCTCTTTTTGTTCCTATTCTCTCCCCCTGGAGACCCTTCCTTCCCTTTCATACAAATATCCCCACACTATCTCCGTTCATCCACTGACTCCCAGCACAGCCAACCAGCCACACATGCTACCCTGTGAATCATGGGAGCTGGGTTACATCCTGTATCTCTTGAAGCCATCACTCACTATCCACGCTCCCATAGGACTAAAGAGAGACCTGAGTCCAGTGGGAGAGGAAACAGTTAACCCCTAAGAACTCATCTTCTCTGAGACATACCGCTAACACCAAGACCAGAAGTTGTTTCCAGCCTGCAGAGCCTGCGCTATGAAAATGGCGGATTGTGGAGTTCTGATCCTCTTGACTTTGCCATGGCAAACCAGGATGGCCCCAGCCATGGCTAGCAATTACATGAAACAGGTGTAATAGAGGGGTAGGAAACTCATGCTTTTGTCTCATGTGGTACCTATCAGGAGCAGCTGAGCACCGATGAAGAAAAATCTATGTGACAAGGCCACAAGCGCCAGGCGAGGAGACAGAAGAGAGTCTACTCTTTTACTCTGTGGTTTCTGATGAGCCCATGCCTTCCTTAGGTTTCCAAACTGCCACTCGTATCTAAGAGCCTCATACATTGGGTGACCTCCAATGGCCAGAAAGGAGGGCTGACCTTCTTCACTTCCACATGCCACTTTTCAGAGACAGAGGCAAGTGGCACCACCTCCAAACTGACCTGGCTGCTCATGGACCACCAGATTTCACTCTTGTACCCTAACGGTAGTCCTTACCCTCAGACCTGGCCTATGAAACCAAGTGCTTGCCTCCATGGGGTGTGTGGGAATGTACCTGTTCTCCTTTCTCCCCTCCCTCCAAACAGGGTGTCAGACAGGAGAAACTTCCATCACACAGCCACAGCAAAGGGTTTGAGGAAGGATGCTTTCTCGGTTACACACAGAGGGGATGGTGGTCCAGCATGGGATGATGGAATGGGATGAAGTCAATAAAGCAGAGTAGGACAGAATGGGATGATAGATGGACTGGGTATGATTAGATAAGATAGAATAAAGAGATAGGATGGGATAGGAAAGAAGAAAACAGGAGGATTTTTGTTTATCAGAAAATTATGAATGGGAGGCAGAAATGAAGAGGAGGGGATACTAGTATGAATACATACATAAAAGTTAAACAGAAGTAAAGAATGAAGGTAGAAATCGAGGGTTGAAGACATTCTGAGCCACTGGATCAAGAATGACTGGTGAAGTTCTTCTTATCTTAGACCCTGTGATGTCTACAATACAACTGTGTAAGAGCCTCAGGCACAGAGGAGGGAGGATGTGAGGACCAACACAGAGAGCCTAGCACATCCCACTCGCTGCACTGATAATGTACTTTGGCCCACTTGAACCCAGATTACATCTTTGGTGTGGACTTCAGTGAGCCTTTTCCAGCACAGAAGAAGGCCACTCCCCTAGAAATAAGGCTAGCAAGACAGTCAGATTTTGGACCAAGCCTGGGGAGGGGCACGAGCAAAGTAAAATGCCATGCCTACTTAAGATCGCTTCTCCTCGGCACACCAGAGAAGGATGTCAGCAATCCACAGCCATGCTAAGGGCATGCCATAATCAGGGTTCAGAAAATTAGAAACCAAAACAGAGTCCTGGAAACAAGTAGAAAGAAAAGGCCTTTGTCTGTAAAGGACCATGACATGAACGATAATGGATTTCCCATCAGAAACCCTGCAGACCTGACTTAGGGTTTCTATTGCCGTGACAAAACACCATGACTGAAAAACAAGTTGGGGAGGAAATGGTTTATTTGGCTTACATGCCCACATTGTACTCCATCACTGAAAAAAAAAAAAAAAAAAAAAAAAAAACAGGGCAGGAACCAAACATGGCAGGAACCTGGAGGCAGGAGCTGAATCAGAGTCCATAGGGAGGTGCTGCTTACTGGCTTGCTCCTCATGGCTTACTCAGCCTGCTTTCTTATAAAACCCAGGACCACCAGCCCAGGGACAGCACCATTCACAATGGGCTGGGCGCTGTCCCATCAATCACTAATTAAGAATTTGCCATACAGGCTTGTCTGCAGGCCTGTCTTTTGGAGGCATTTTCTCAATGGAAGCCCCCCTCTTCTCCAATGCTTCTAGTTTGGGTCAAGTTGACATAAAATTAGCCAGAACAAGGCCTAACAAGGGGCCTCCAGAACACATCTCATGAGTAATGGTGAAGACAGAGAACGGGGTCTCAGAGGAATGTCAGAACACCTTTCAGCCACTGGCGGAGTAACAAGCCGCCATGGCCACCAGGCTGCAGGAGCTCGGAGTGGAGGAGCGTCAACTGCTAAACACACAGCTCCAACATCAGCACTCAGAGGAAAGATCCAGGCCCCCTGATGCTCAGGAAGCCAGGTAACCTTCTAGAACGTTCACTGGAGATCCAGGCTCTTCCTACACCAACCCTCACCCACCTACCTTCCCTACCAAGAGCCTTTCCAGATCAGAAATTCTGGCATCCGGAGGAAATGGAAGGCATAATCCCCTGAACTCCAGGTTACTCATATGCTTTCTCCCAGCATGTCCTGAATCATGTCCTTGGCCGGGGCTGCCCCAGAGCCAGTGAGACCCTGCGGTCCAGCACTTCTCCAGCTCAGTTTTGTAGAACAAATGTGAAAGCAAAAATAGGTTCTAAGGAGAAGGAAGCATAGACGACATGGAAGTAAACGGTGCTGTGCTCATTTCTTCCCTCTCAGAGCAGCTGAGCACCAGTAGGGTAGGAGCAGGAAGCCACTTCCAAATCCATGCCATTATGGACACCAGTTTGTATATGAAAGGTTCTGAAGACCAGAGTTTCAAAGAATGCCTGTAAATCTCAGCTCTCATACATTGCAAAAATTTCAAGGCAACCAGCCAGAGCTTGAAAATAACCAAATAATAAACTTATTATTCACTTCAGATACAAA